TTAAATTTTTCATTTAAAAAGATAACATAATTAAAGTCGCCTACCTTTTCTTCCTTCACAATGAGAAGGCAAATGCTATATGGCGCCGGGGTGCCTAATCGTGAGAGTAAGAAGAATAGCCCCGCAAGGTCGACATTGCAACGGTATGGTGGGGAAAGGAAATCCTTGTAATATTGCATTTGTTGGATCTCGGCAAAGACGGGTAAAGAAGAAAATTACGGGATCAGGGGATGTTGGGCTGGCAATATAACACTATTGATGTCTCAGATGCCATATCTATGGGCAGTGAGGGTGGGTTACCTTTTCATTTTGTCAACTTATATTTTTTCTATTATCACCCGCTCTTCACTTTCATCTTATGTTCACAAAGTGAAGCTAAAGCCCATGGTTTTTAGGCATGCGATACTCTCTCCAGTCCCGTGAGATCATCGCAGATAGTATCGAAACCGTCACAAGCGCTCAATATCACGATGCCTGTATTGCGATTCCCGGTTGTGACAAAAACATGCCTGGCTGCATAATGGGTATGGCGAGACACAATAGACCCTCCTTGATGATATACGGTGGGACTATTCAAGTCGGATACTCCAAGTTCCTCCGAAAACGAATCAACATTTCGACTTGCTACGAAGCCGCAGGCGCATACGCTTATAACACCTTAACCCAGCCTGACGATGGTGGTGATCGATCGAAAAATAAAGACGAGATCATGGAGGACATCGAGCGAAATTCCTGTCCTAGCGCCGGTGCGTGCGCTGGGATGTACACAGCCAACACCTTGGCAACTGCTATCGAGTCAATGGGTTTAACTTTACCAGGCTCCTCTTCCACCCCGGCCACAGTACCATCGAAGATGCGTGAGTGCGCAAAAGCCGTAGACGCCATCAGGATATGCATGGAGAAGAACATTAAGCCATGTGACTTACTCACCAAAAGGTCTTTCGAGAATGCCTTGGTCATCACCATGGCGTTGGGTGGAAGCACCAACAGTGTTATTCATCTGATTGCTATGGCTCGTACTGCCGGGGTTGAACTAACACTCGATGATTTTCAACGAGTGAGCAATAAAATCCCCTTTATTGCCGACCTGGCGCCCAGTGGGAAGTACTATATGGCGGACCTGTATGAAGTTGGCGGAATACCATCGGTGCAGAAGCTGCTGGTAGCAGCAGGTCTCATGGATGGCGATATTCTCACGGTAACCGGCAAAACACTGGCGGAGAACATCCAGTCTTTCCCATCTCTCCCACAGGACCAGGGCATAATCCATCCGCTAGCTAACCCTATAAAGTCTACCGGTCATATACAAATTCTCAAAGGCAACCTCGCCCCTGGTGGTGCAGTCGCTAAAATTACCGGGAAAGAAGGCACCAAATTCAGAGGGAAAGCCCGAGTTTTTAACAAGGAACACGAACTCGATACAGCACTTAACCAAGGCCTAATTCCACGGGGAGAGAACCTTGTCTTGATTGTCAGATATGAAGGGCCGAAGGGAGGGCCCGGGATGCCGGAACAGCTCAGAGCAAGTGCTGCGTTGATGGGAGCCAAGCTCACAAATGTCGCTCTAATCACAGATGGTAGATACTCTGGTGCCAGCCATGGGTTTATCGTAGGCCATATCGTCCCTGAGGCTGCTGTTGGTGGGCCTATCGCTGTGGTGCAAGATGGGGATTTGATTACGATCGATGCAGAGACGAATGAGCTCAGCATGGCAGTTTCGGATGAGGACATTGCTGAGCGAATGAAGAACTGGGAAGCGCCGAAGCCACATGTTACGCGCGGGACATTGGCCAAGTACATGAGGCTTGTTGGCGATGCTTCGCATGGCGCAATGACGGATATGTTTTGATAGAGGGTTATCATTGGTTGCAACGATCACAGTGAAGGGTTGGGAGCAGGCTGGCCGTTATTGCAAGAGGGCTATTCAGGATAACCACGTGGCTATGCATATACCTCTGCCATTGCCAAGTTTAACAAAGTATCTGAAATATTTCCCAATCATACCCTCCATGCTCTGTTGCTCTAGGTCTCCTGTTTGCGAAGTAGTTAGGGCTTATCCAATCATGTTTCCACGTGATCCAGTGTCCGCTTCTTCCAATCTTGGATCGGTCAACTTCTATAATTTGGTGCCGGACTGGATGACGCCGCAATTATTTATTCAAGTCTAGTCTCAACCCTCCCCTGCCTGTAAGGCTTACCGTGTCTCCAATACGCACGTGCCGCTAGATAGTGTGAGAGGGTTTATCCTTGGTTTATTGTTATGATCTATCTAGTGGCGAGTAATATATTGTGTGGGTCACGTGGGATAGGGCTCGTGTAGTAGCCTCCAACAGATAGATCTATACCAATGCATTGCTACGCGTTAAAAGTACTGTGAACTGAACCATTGTTCAAGAAACAGATTCAGCACTCTCCTGACCCGACGTACCTCCACCCAAACGCGTTTTACCAGAGCAACGGTTCAACCCAGTATTTTAACCTGCAAAATTCTGCCTTCACTGTTCTAGACGCAGCTACCGTCCGTACTATGGCTTAAACTTGGTGGTTTATGGGGCTACAGCTCCACGTATACCGATGGTGGAAGCTTCGAACCCCGGAAACCTGGGTGTCGCTTCCTTATCGTAGGCGACGGGCTACCTTCAGTTTGGATGACCGGATGTCAAAACATAGCCTGTCTACATCTTCTTGTCAACATTGCGCATGTGGCCCTATCACTTGCCAGTTGTCAGACATATGTTCTCCCGATTTGAAAATTCACCCCAGCAAAACGATCAGGCTGGTGTTGAGCACTGCCTTCTGTGACTCGTCATTGGTTAACGGCCTCAACTTGACCGCATGGTACGCTCCGTTGGGTTGGTGAAAAAAGAGTGAACATTACAATCAGGAGTAATAATAGCGGCCCAACAGCCAGGTCTCCAGCTGCATTGGACTGGGAAGTATCCCGGTCGATTCTCATTCCGCAACCCTTTCCCGAGACCCTAGGGAATCCCAGTTAGGAGCACGTGGGCCTTTCTGGTTGCCCTTTTTAGTTTCATATATAGAGCTGGAGAACCCGTTTACCTACAAAATGCCGATGAGTGCTTCCACGACACCCACACAACCTCCTTTACCATCTTCCACCCTTCCCACTTCTGTTGTTAGCCGTTTCTCCTCACCCATCTCAGCTATCATCCATTTCTCTTCGGATTACATCAGTCGTGGCTGCTCCCGTTTGCATCTTCTGAGCTGTATCAATGCTGCGCCAAGCAAGACTTCTGGTGGTGATTTTGCGCCAAGTGAAGTGACGAGCGTATTTTGTAAATCAGTCGGTATCCCTGTTATTGTGGCCATGACTGGTTGTTTTCTATTGCTTCGCGCTCTACGTGCTCCTAGGGATCGAAAGAAAGAATCTCACGTGTTACTGGGTAAACAACCCTCGACATCCAATTCCGATGGCGGTTCGAATGATGATATGGACGTTTCTGTGAAGGAAAAGGATAAGGCGCTCGATGTGTATGGTCGCTCGGTTAGTTCTCGGAGCGCCCACCTTAAACGCAATGGTAAGCTGCTTCAGCAATTCAGAATAAAATCTCCTCTCCGGTTCGGTTATATCACTAACCCGTGGTCTCCCTTAATTAAGTGTGGTCACGATTACCTGATCTCAGGGCTGGCTTATAAGAGCACTCCGCGAATATCTTCCTACACCACCCCAATCGCAACGTACCCTTCCCATCAGGACTTTCCTCTACCCTCACCCCCCATATCGAAGAGCTCCCCACTGAACCATCACCCTTACCACTCTTGGTATTCATTCATGGGCTTGGGGGCTCCCTTACCCAATTCCATCCTCTCCTAACAAGCTTAGTCAATGTTGCTCCCTGTTTTGGCATCGATCTTCCAGGTTGCGGGCTGTCTTCGTTTTCGCCAAAGTCCTGGGCGGCATACTCAGTCGAAGCACTTGCAACTTTGCTCGCTGTGGCAATTAACCAGTACCGCGACAAAGAAAGAGGCCAAAAGATTGTCCTCATCGCGCATAGTTTGGGATGTTCGCTTTCAGCGTTGATTGCGTCATCGGAATCTCCTCTCATGTTGTCCCTGCAGGAGCACATTATTGGATTGATTGCAGTTTGCCCACCAGCTGGCCATCCTCCGGAGAAAACGACTGAAAGCTTCCGCAGGCTTCTCTATATTCCAAACCCGATTTTCGACCTTTTTAGACGATGGGACAGACGGGGCGGACCTAATAGCCCCAGCGTTATGAGGTTCGTTGGGGAAGGTGCTGACATGGAAACTAAAAATCTGCAGCTTCGGTTCAACCAGCAGAGTAAGACACCAGTATGGAGGAGGATGGCATGGGGCGCCCTTCCGTCGTACAACAGCTTAGGGAAATCGGTAGGGGGTCTCCCTGGAAAGAAAGTATGGGCAGGAGTGCACGTTCCGCTTTTGCTTATAGCGGGTGAATCTGACCAGATAACGAATCCTGAGGAGGTTACCAAAATTCTCGAGTATTTCAGTGGTCATGGTACCCTGCCAATTTTTCCTGAAAGCCAGCTAGCAAGAGGAGGTATTGGAGACGAAAATACCCCCCCTGATGTACGGCCTTCGCTGAAAGGAAGAGTTGGAAGGAATCTTACCAACACCGTTAGTCCGTCTGGTTTAGCGAAGCCGGAGAATACTACGAGTGGCGGGAAAAAAGGTGTAAAGGCATATATATTTCCAGCACCTGCCTCCCATGCTCTACTCTACGACCGGCATACTTGTCGTACACTCTCGGGGTTGATCCAAGACTTTTTCCCTAAACATATTGACCCTCGTCTGAGTTTGGGATGGCAGCTTCAACATCTAACCACTTCAAAGAAATGGGACGTCAAGAACCTGGAGAAATGGAAAGCAATCGATTCCGTTTCAGATGTTATGGGGGATACTTTTGTCGCGATGAAGACCCTGCGTGAGGTTGATGAGATACACACACCAATACCCTTTGCGCAAAAGTGGAAAGGAAGAATTTATGCAGTCATTGATATTAGTCACGAAAGCCCGGTTTACGATCCCACCCAGCTTGAGAAAGGTGGGATCCAGTATCACAAACTTCCAACGGTGTCCAAGATACCTCCGACTATTGATGAGGTCCGTGACTTTGTGTCTCTGGTCGTTCGCCTGGAGGAAGAAATATCGGCTGTATCCAATGCCCTTCCGGATGGGGCTCTGCGGCCAGTACTTGGAGTTCACTGTCACTACGGATTTAACAGGACCGGTTTCTTTGTCGTTTCATATCTTATCGAGAAAAAGGGATTCTCCGTTCAGGGCGCAATAGACGAATTCGAAAGATGCCGACCTCCGGGAATCAAACACGAGCATTTTATCGATACCCTTTTTGTACGGTATTGTGTTGGCCTTCAGAGAGCTTCGACCTTATAATAGATTTTGATCGATTGGTTTCTTGTATTAGCATCATCGGCGTTCAAGCAGGGGCGATGCGACATTGAGCTCCAGGTATCATTTTTGATTTTTATTAAGTTTTATTATGTTCGTTTGTTTACGGAATGCGGTTAGGTGGCTACGGCATTCTCGTTTTCCGGACATGATCGGAGAAGGATGAGGTTTTCGAAGGAACCTTTTGATTGTTGCTGTCCAAGGTCATCATAAATGCCATGACAGATCAATAATATTCCCTGTATTAGATCATATATTACCATTAACGAATAATGATATTGATGGATTTTTTTTAAAACTACTGTATGAGGCCCGCCGTCTACATAGTAATTGTAGATCGCCAAAAGTGAGCGAATTAGGTTTAGTGGCTGATGAAGACAGCATATCGGAAGGTTTAGGGTACAACTAGTCCCAAATAGGATAAGCGACTTTGAACCCTCCACAACCACACAGTTCGAGATGCGACAAGCGAAATTCAAAGCGAAGGCTGACCACGACGGAGACGACAAACCGACCAGCGGACTTTCTACTCCCATAACACCTCTCGCGTTTTCCTCCCGCCGCTTGATCTATCATATTTGCCCCCCAAGGCATTAAAAGGACAATCGCAATCATGGGAGGTGTTACCGTTCGTGATGTGGATGTAAGTTGTGCTTTTTCTCGATTTTGTGTTTGGTCGTTTTTGTTTTTGCAGGGTCGGGATAAAGGATGTGCGCCTATACTGGGAAGCCATTGAGGGATGGAATTAGGTGGATGGGAAAAAGGAAAATGAAAGCTTCGGATCGAGGGATGGAATTCGGTATATCAGATGGTGAGGGTTTAGGTTGAGACGATGACATGCTGGATATATTGCTGAAAAGCGGTTGATCGAGAAGAGATCCGAAAATATTTTAGGATGGCGATTAGGCAGCAAGCACTCAGGAAATGGAGAAGTGCACTATTTGCATACTTGTGGTGCCGGGATTTTTCATCCATCCTTATAGCATCGGTTGGCTGATATACAATTTTTCCTTTGATCTACAGGCGCAAAAGTTCATCGCGGCATACTCCGCTTTCCTGAAGAGACAAGGCAAATTGCCAATTCCAGGTCCGTTCCTATTTCGTTGATCCCAACTTTTCGCAACGTCCTTGTTCTATGGAAAGCGAAAAGCAATCCTCGCGCGAATATACAAGTTCAAAGTTCTCTATATCTAACTGTCGACTATTGTGATACAGGATGGGTCGATACTGTTAAGACATCAAAAGGCAAGGAGCTTCCTCCTCAATCTATCGACTGGTATGTCAATTTTCCTTCACTTTTATTCGATCGACCCGTATGTCGGATTGTCGTCGGCATCGGCAAGTGTGTTTTCGCATTTGGGCTGAAAATCCCACCACTCAAAATAGGTACTACGTTCGCGCTGCTTCCGTTGCCCGGCACATCTACCTCCGCAAGACTGTCGGTGTTGGCCGTCTACGGAAAGTCCACGGGGGTCAGAAGAACCGTGGCTCCCGTCCCTCCCATCATGTCGATGCTAGCGGTTCCGTGGACCGGAAAGTAATCCAATCGCTGGAGAAGATTGGCGTGCTCGAACTCGATGAGGAGAAAGGTGGACGGAGAATTACCCAGAGTGGCCAGCGGGATTTGGACCGCATTGCCAAGACGACGGTCGATGAGGAGGAGGATGAGGAATAGTGTCATTTTGAAATGTGTTGTATATTTGTGTGTGAGAGGGTGGGGAGAATAGAGATATCCCGAGAGGGCCGGCGGCGGATCCTTGGATCTGGTTTCTGTCACATCCCCGACTCAGAAGCGTTGTATTTCGGAGAAAATCAGGAAAGAGATATCATTCACCAGGGAAATGCAAGGAAAGGAGAGGAAAGACGATGATAAATTCTGGACCAACGGAATGAACCCAGCGATTTCTCTTCAGGCGTTCATAATGAATTGGGGCGTGTGGGGGACTTTACGTTGGAGCCGGAATGCATGGCAATATAAAGAGACCAAAAATCATAAGATTGACGGAGGGCATAGCGGGTTTTTTTCTGTTTTGTTGTAATTTTCCCCTTTTGTCTTTGAATCGAAACTACACGCATGCCTAATAAGTCTATTTTGCCTTCCTCTTTCTTCCCTTCTGCGCATGTCCCTCTACTCTCCTTCCCCGAATATCTCAACAATACTCAGCTCTCTTGCTTGACCTCCTTGTACTGGAAATATCATATTGATTTTATTGATTTTATTTATCCCTCTTGCTTTTTACTGTCATTTCCTTTTCCTCCGCCTTAACTCGCCGGATATCAAAATGAAATTCACTTCTAAAATCGTTCACAAAAAAGGAAAAGAAGAAAAAGAAATCCAAAAAGTATCCACAAAGCTTGCGGAGTACCCTCTCTTCACATATATATGTTCGAACCATTTGTGCACACAAAAAAAAAAAAAAAAAAAAAAAAAAAAAAAAAAAAAAAAAGGATTACGGAAACATGATATCATAGGCGGCTTATCCCTACTAACTACGAGTGAAGAAACAGGGGGGGATGAACTGAGCATAGTTACCAATAACCCACATTAAAATAGCTCCGCCGAACGATGTTTTCACGACATTCCCTTATGAGAACAGTTCGTCGTAAACAGGCACATCATGCCGTTTCGTCCTAAAAAAAATATATCACTCAAATGAAGCCGAAACCGAGGACCAGAGTTCCTAAGAGACAAAATAGAGCAAATTCGTCGTTTGTTCAATTGGAGAAATGAGACTGCAATGGAAAAAAGGTAAGATTCTTGAACAACTGAGAGACCTCTCTACCATCCCTTCGAATGTTTACTTCCATTGAACATCCAGAACGTAGCAGAACAAAAATGGTTCAGCTGGAGGTGGCTCCATCTCCTTCTGTTTCCTGAAGACCTTTTTTTATTCCATCCAAACATATTATCCCAGAGAACAATCCAAACGCATAACCATGAGCGAAATTGTGTGAAAGCTAAATGAATTTACGAAACAGCATTTCACAAGAAACCAAATAAAAGGTTACATATACGGCCAGAAACAGAGTACAAAGAAATTCGGGAATATGTGGTAGTCTTGCTCAGAAGGTACAGACAAGTTTGCGAAGGCTGAGCCGACAACCCGCAAAACGAGAGACAATGAGAAAGAGCTACCAATCTAGGATCTGATATTCCAAGTTAGAGGCGAACTCGTCGGGGAACTGCACGGTGCCATCATTTTCTTCACGGAGAGGTTCATCAAAGGTTGCCTCAGATGTGGAAGTGGATACATTGGGGAGTAACGCGGATCGAGAGTTATTAGCGTGAAAAGCACCTTGACCTTGCGGAACAAGGCTATAACGATGTCCCACCGGTCGATGTCCTGGATTCCGAGTAATTGCTTCAGTTGGCGGTGTATTTTCGTTTGGAAAAACTTCGTTACCTTCAAACCCAAGAGTTGTGCATGTACGAGCCAAGTTGTGCGCCAAGGATCGGATGTCGTCATCGTCGAAATCAACAGGGTCAACAAATATAGCACCAGGAAGAGAAAACATATGAGAAGTTGAACGGTTTGAGACTGCAAAACTACGCTGGATTGCAAAACGGCGTTGCGCATGTAGGGCATTGTTGGAAGCGGACGGTAGCAAGCTGGCGGTGTCACCGTCGACGTCGAGGGGAAAAGGAGCGCGAATGTCTTTGTTCACAAAGATATTGCTTCCGCCCTCCAGTTTACCTGTTCTTTCATTCTTAACATTAGGAGGATATTAGATGTTAGAAATTACACTTACAATCTTGCCGGTTGCCCACGTCTTCTTTGTCCTTGTCCGTCACGATTGTCGGAGATGCGCGTGGATCCTGTCTCTGGAGGGTGGTATTTTCGTCGTCAGCCATATCAGCGACATTATCACTGTCTTCCAGACCTTGAAATGTTTCATCTCCATCTCCATAATTCTCTTCAAATCCTTCGGATTCATCTTGCTCTGAGTTTTCTGGGCTCTTTTCAGTATCCTCGTCTCCATATCCGTCGCTCTCATCACCCGCGTGGTTGATTTGGTCTGTGATAATACTATCACTTTGTTCGCGGGACTCCCCGTTAGATTCCGAATCAGCAAATTGTGAATGACTACTTCCAGAGAGGGCATAGGTATTCGAAGCCGGGGTCCCACGGCAAGACCATACGAGGTAGTCGTTCTCTGTTGCTGGAGTTCGATAGGAATATCCTTGGTTATTACGAAGGGCAGGCTTTTTCCTAGGCAACTCCTCCTCACCTTGGTCCTGCTCGTTCTCCAGCCTGGATCGTTCTCGTTCCCTGCGTGCTCTCTCATTTCTTTCTATCACTGCAGCCAAATATGCGGATGGCGGATCACCAAAGACAGCTCGACGATTCCGTGACATATATTCAAATGGGGGTAACGAGGGTGATCCACTGGCCTGTCGTTTTCTGCGCATCTTGAAGACTCTAAACTGGAATATGTCTTTGTAAGGGATCTGAAAAAGTTGTGCCCTCTTCAAACCGACACAGTTTGTTCCAAAAGTGGATATTCCAGATGTAACAGCAAAACGGTGTTGTGTTGTGCCTTTTCCTTGCGGTCCCTCGCGGAGAGCTATCTTGAAAAGCGAAGACAATCGCAACCGCAGAAATGATGTGGAAAATTAAACAAAATCTTTCCGCTGAAGAGAATGAAGGACCGAAACAAATCTCGAACGGAGCAATCCAAAGATCAACTTGCAAATAGGGGCTATCGCCAACGAGCAAATATTCAACAAAGAGTGGCGGGAGTAGGAAGGGAAGGTTCTAGCCTATTAAACAGGCTCGAAGTCTCGATTCTATTTAAAGCAGGGGAATATAACATTGAAAGGGGATGTTGCTTGTTTGTGTGTGAATATCGGACTTCTCCCTTGTGCATGTGGTGAATGGTGGATGAAGCAGGAGATAAAAAAAACAGAGTCACAAAGAAGCGAAGCTGTGCAGCTCTGTATAAACAGTTGCCTGGGTATCTATCTGGCACTTGTCTTCCGCCACAATGCTCACCCCATATCTTCCAGTCCTGGATCCATTTGGTTGCCAGAATTCCAAAGAAAACACACATACTTGCACCACGAAAATTACTTAATTTGTAATGTATATATGAGATCTAAACTGATTCTACCCAACCCATATTGTCCATAAAGTTGGATCATCTTTGGATTTAGTCCCTGCTCACGGTGGGGTCCCAGCAAACATGGTGATATTCGCCAGTGTTCAGAGTCTCCATGTCCTCAGGGGAGAGTTCGAAGTCAAAAATTTCAGAATTCTCTTCAATTCGATTATCATGCACGGATTTGGGAAGAGGAACAAAGCCCTTAACAAAAATTAATACATGTCAGCAGTCCCAAAAATCCAACAATCAATAGCGGGTGGATGGCGGATTCAGGGAATTCGTACCTTCTGCAAGCTCCATCGAAGGAGGATTTGCGCTGGAGACTTACTGTGCTTCTGGGCCAATTTCTTAATCAGAGGATCACCCATCTTTGTTGCTTGCACGAGGGGACTATAAGCTTCAATAACGACATTGCGCTTTTGTAACCATTCAACGATATCAGGACGGGCGAGCCAAGGGTGCAGTTCATATTGACCAACGTCGATTTTCCCGCCAAGGTCTTTGTTATATTCCTCCAGTTCGTCGAGATGGTGGACGCCATAGTTAGAAATCCCAATGGAGCGTACTTTGCCCTCTACTTGGGCTTCCACAAGAGCACGCCACGATCCTTCGCGCGCTTCCGATCCGCCATATGGGGCGTGAAGGAGGATACTATTCAGTAAATGAGTTTATCTGCTACTGCAGTACATCACGCCTTCGTTTCCACATAGACTCACGCACTTACAGATCGATATAATCAAAATTGGCTGCCTTGAGACTGGACTCTATTGAGTCCTTAGTCTTCTGATAGCCCATAGCCTGCCATGGTACCTTTGTCGTGAAGAAAACGTCTGAGCGCTTGAGGCCAGAGGCACGAACAGCCGCTCCGCACTGGGCCTCATTGCGATATGACTTCGCAGAATCGATCTAAAGAACGATTAGAAAATTTACCCGATGAAGATGACCCCGTCACATGTTGTACGTGGACATGTACAAGACTCCACAGAAATAGCCGAGAAGAAACCCATGTATGATGCGTACATGTTTATATCCAACTTGGAGAGCCTTCAACACGGCCTTCTCGGTTTTTTCGGGAGGCCTATCAGATATGTATGTGTAAGTAGATAATGCATAGGTTTAAGAAATGGATCTATTAAGGGACAAACGTTTGATAGACCTATTGGAGCACGGCCACTAATTTAGTAAAGTACCGATGAAGGGAACGATCAGTTTATCTTGGCGGCTATTCTGGTGATATTGATGAATGACAGATACATACTCCAAATCCTAGAACTGGGATCTCATATCCCGAGTTCATTTTGTAAGTCGATTGAAGCCTCAGGGGAGCCATATCATCGGGTATTCTACGCGTAGAACAAGAGCAGGCAGATTTCGCAATTGGATATACAGTGATGGTTATCAAAAGATGGCGCCCACAAGTGCTACATGGTGGAAAAGTTAAAGTTTCCCCTCCGGATCCACTTTTTGGGCCCCTCGCTTGAGATAATCGTTCGCATTTTGCATATTCAGACTCATTGCCGACCTTGACCGACATCTATGTAGTCGCTTCAGCTCCAATTTATAAAGCCATTGAGCATTGACATCGTTGAAGCTTACAATGGCGGGGTTTAGCATAACATCTTTATTTTGGCTATGACCCCACCAACCTCCCTCGCCGCCTCTTTCGAAATTTCAACTCGAAGACTGAATCGCAAAAGCCGGCTAATATTTGAAGACCCAGATCTCCTGTAATACGCAGGCTTTGCGAAACTCCCGTTTGTGCATGGCTGTCGAATCTGGGCAAAATTTTATCTGGTCAAAAATTGTCGTCTGAAATGCGGTTAATCAAACAGAATATCGAGCGCGACGGCTCTGGATCCGTCACTCTTTATCCCGAAGAGCCGGAGGATATGGTATGCTTTCTCTTTTAATGGCTTCAAGTCGACTTTTATTGAAAACATTTTTCCCTTCAAAGAACAAAGATTTACCAGAATCTGTCCTTCGCTCAACATATTTGCGCCCTCGCAAACTAATCGTTGCCCTTGTCCAGTGGCATTGTTATAATCTCATCCGACCTGATGACCTTCTCAAGGCGAGCGCGATCCGTCGCGTCACCACTGCATCTGCAACAGGGACTACAAGTTCTTCTCGAGTACATATGACGCTGCAAATACGTGTGAAGAGCTTGGATTTCGACCCCCAAAGCTCCCAGCTCCATGTCTCCGGTCGAGTCGTCGCGGAAAATCAATACACCAAAATTGGACAGCATCATACACTCGACTTAGAATTACAACGGAATTTCACTCTGGAGAAGCGGGTCGAATCTTCAAGTGAAGCCGGAGGATGGGATAGTATCGCGATCGACATGTTGAAGGAGGCGGTGGATGAAGGAGGGAATAGGAGGGCAGAAGCCGTGGCCGTGGTAATGCAGGAAGGACTGGCACATATCTGCTTTATAGGCCAGTTTCAGACAGTCTTGAAACAGAAAATCGAATTGTCCATTCCACGGAAGAGACAAGGCGGACTTGATCGTGACAAGGTAAACAACAATAGATATGCTCATAATTGGAACCGGGTGCCATAACTGTACACTAATACGCTGTTGGAAAAGGCCTTGACAAAATTCTTCCAAACCACACTCGATACGCTCCTCCGCTTACTCGACATCAATGCGACGACCAGTCCACTTTCGTCTGCAAGCTTAAGCAACAGCACATCTTCGAAACCAATACTCTTAGCATCTCCCGGCTTCACAGCGGCTGGATTTCAAAAACACATACAGTCTGTAGCGAACACATCTGCCCCGGGCTTGAAGGGCCTTCTACAGAACATTGTTGTTGTCCACTCCTCATCCGGCCACATGCACTCCCTTGCTGAGGTGCTTCAATCCCCATCAGTGCAAGCTCTCCTCTCGAACACCAAATACGCAAAGGAGACTTCACTCATGGACAAGTTCTTCTCCGAACTACGCAAGGGAACTAATAAAGCCACCTATGGACCGAGAGAGGTAGAGTCGGCAGTGGAGCAAGGTGCTGTAGGCCGTGGAGGTGGCATTCTTATCATTTCCAACAGGCTATTTCGCGCTCAGAGTGTTGCTGAAAGGCATCGATGGGTCTCTTTGGTAGATCGGGTGAGGGGTGTTGATGGAGGAGAAGTACGGGTTCTTAGCTCTGACCATGAAAGCGGGAGAAGATTGGAGGGCCTGGGTGGCATCGCGGCCCTATTGACGTTTCCCACTGTTGAAGAAGAGGAAGATGAAGATGAGGGTAATGAGGCTGGTGGGAAGGGTGGCGAGTGAATAGGGCCCAAGCACAAGGACACGGCGATTTTTCCTCTTCAGTCCAAGGGTGGGGATTATTTCCTCATATGTCATACGGAGTGATTGGGGTTGTTCCTTAATTCACCTCTCTAGAGCGTGGCCTTTGAACTCGTTTTATGTGGCCTTGTGCTTCCCGACTCCTGAGGCCCCAACACCTATAACAATGTCTATAAATACCCGCTGTACGCCCCGGTGCTGTACAGCGCGTTCTCAATATCTCTTTTTACGAATAGTAAATACGATTCTCCTACTCGCATCTTTCAGACTTTATTCTGTTTCCTCCCTAAGCATTTCTTTGACAATGGGTGTTCTCCCGCGCAAGGCCCCGGTTGAAAGGAGTCCTGGGTACTGGATGGATATGATCAATAAACCATCACAGCCAGTGAAGCCAAAGTTTGAAGAGTCTACCGAGCGTACTCTGGAAGTCACAAAACGAAGTTTTATCAAGTACTCCTACCCGATCTGAACTAAGTCTTCATGGATAATTGCTCATTTCTCACAGATTCGTACAGCGTCTGGAACCGGCCGACCCGCGTTACTGGCTTGAGAATTTGACCATGAATGTTATCGAATGCTTTCTACGCTGGTATCTCGAAAACCATAATGTTCGATCTCTGCCAGGCTTTCAAGTCAAAGTTCGATACTGGCGAATGTACTATTGTTCTGAGCTGAATCATGGCTCGTTTCCATATGATCTGAAGCGTCAAACCAAGAGTGTATGTGTTCAAAGCATTCTACTTGTTTGTACTGGACTTACCACGATTGCAGTTGATCTGCGGAGAGCTTAAGGAAGAATTTGATCTTATTCAAATTGCAACCATGTGTCAATGCGGATGATCTACTCTATCACCTGCATTTCTCTCTTGCCATTTCGAAGATCTTCTACGTCACGAACCGACAGAGAAGCCAGCATGCAATACTGCGAAAGATGATGACTGCTACCAGTGCACGTCCTGGCACTCTTGTTTGCAACACTGGTTACTGTAGAAAGGAAAAGGATGCACTTTGCTGGGGAGACATTGAGCTCTTCATGGTTATGGATCCTGACCGCTCTACCTGCAGGGTCCTTCTCATGCATGTAAAGCACCGACTCAACAAGGGCAAGAGGAACAGGGGCCGAGCGTAGGTGCAATATATTCACTCATCAATAAGCCTGGCTATACTAACCCATATTATTTAGTCCAAGGTACACCTATATTGAACGAAATGACAATCTAGGACTTTGTGTGATCCAAGACATCCTAGAGTATGGCCTGGAGGATGAAGTCTTCGCCAGCGAATATATCCAAGAGCCCCGAGATATCTGGCGCTACACCGAGATACCAGCTCACCGGAAGAGTGTCCCCATCCATATCAAAGAGGAGAAAAAGTCCATACCAATATTTCGACGTGCGGCTCGAGACAAAAAAGGAAACTGGACCACGCATCCTGCGGAGCCCCTCACATACGCACAACTTGCAGAAGATCATCATCGAGAGTGTAGAGCTGCAGGCGCTAAAAATACAGGCTCCCTGTACTTATGGAGGAAAGGAGCCGCCGCTGCATTTATTGGTAAGACCTTTATCGGTCATTCAATTTAAGGAACAAGTGACTAAACCAAATCTGTAGACTTGACTCCAGAGCTACGTACTCAGGTCATGGGCCAGTCTAGAAGCAGCATTTTCATGGCATACCTCAATGAGTTGGTGAACTGTGACACCCAGTCTGTTTTTTTGGGAACCCCAACCAGAGATGCCCTAATTGCGCTTTCTACCAACTCCAGCCTCACTCGTGATCCATCCGCGCCACAAGGCCTGACTCGCGAACAACTACAGCGTGTCGAGGATGATCCAGAGCTGATGAAGTTAGAGAATACTCGTGTGGCCTTTCGGGAGGATCTGATTTCAGAGTATGGCAAGATCAGCAAGGTAACAGACCCGGCCAAACGTGACAGATATCGACAACTTGGCAATCAGGTTCGAGCTGAACGCAAGAAGCTCCAGAATCAGATTGATAAAGAGGCATACAAACAATATTTTGACAATGTGGGTAACACCATCATTGAGAATAACTATACGGGCGGGCCACCACATTTGAACCTGACACCTCTTCTCTCTTGCCCGAGCGAAAAGCTCTGGCCGCCCTTGAGTTTAAGAACCGAGATGTCAGCATCGTTCCTGATGAGGAGCTTGTGGAAGATGGCATCCTGTCTCTCGAGCTTCGTCTCGCTCTGAACCACCTCACCGTGCCCAGGCATCTGGCCCAGAGAGTTAAACCAGAGGTCACAGCCCAAGATACTTTGTCTAGCTTCCCAACTCAGAGTCCTACTGGTTTAGAGTGCCCTGAGTGCCTGGGTGATGAGACAAAGTATCCCGGAGCACGGTGGTTCAGCTATTGCAACACGTATGTCCTGCGAGACCACCTGGAGGTGCAGCATGTGAAATGGATGGACTTTTCCAAACCGGTCCCCTGCGGCTATCCACATTGCGTGGCGTTTTTGGCTACTCCAATGCAGTATTACCACCATGTTACGACGGTACATGGAACTAAACTCCCAAAAGGTGGATGGGCACCTAAATGTAAAGCCCAGTTGGCCTTCGATGCCTCTTTGTTCAGATGAGAAGGCTTTCCCTGTACGGCTGATGCAGGCATCAATTTATCTAGATATCGAAGTCCTCTCGGATAGGCTACGAGCTATTTCTTGCTATTTTCTCACCTACTTCTGTAATTAATTATTCGAGTTTTCCTTGCTCAATTTCCTACTAGCAGGAGCCATGACTAATTACGGTTGGCCATTCCTTGTTGATGTCTCGGATCTCTAAATATGTTACTTAAATAGAAATAGAAGCCGTGTACCTTTGAAACCAAAGAGAGAACAGATAGTCTACAAGAATAGAAACTGGGTCGGATGATAGTGCCATACACTAGGACAGAGGAGGAGAAGTGCCATTGTTCTCATTCAGTGAGAGCCAATCGGAAACCGTAAGTAGACGCATTATGTGCTCTTGAATCCGACACAGGTGAATATGGCGCGTAGGCTCAAGAAAATACAACGTGATAGGGCCAGATGGAATAGCCATGCTTTGCAATTTCTCAGCAGGGATCGGTGGTGGCACAGCGGGGACATTAACATAAATATATGTGAAGGAGGACGTCCCTCATCCCTTATGTCACCACAAGCCAGATTACACATTTCTCGGGTCACAATGGCACTTCCATGGTCATCAGAAGAGGACGTTATTATGCTCTATTTTGCATCCCGGAAGATCCAGCATGAGGCAATATCTGATTTAATCCAACAGCGAGGCTACAGCCGGACTCCGCACGCGATCAACAGCAGACTGTGCTTCCTCCGACAATCGCATCCACAACTAAGCTCAGGTTTCCATGAGTGGGATGTGCAAGCCATAGATCAGTACATTGACACACTATTGGGAAACGGCTATGTCAATCTCCTGATACACTTCACATAAGAGGACTCTGAGTGAGATTATGGCAAAGGTTGTATGTCGCGTCTTCGAAGACCTTGAATGAAGGCTAATGGAAGCTCTAGCACTATCAAGAAAGCATCGATCGACCATCAGGACCAATAGCACAGATCTGGCACAGGTCTGGCACAATATTTTTTCGGGAATTCGTGATCATTTGGTGCCTCAGATCCAAAATCGGGGTCATCCGGCACTTCCGGACAGTGCATATCAATGATCGTCGGTGCGCCTCCTGCGACCTATAGCTCCGCGATGAAATGCTCCTACAGAATCACGCGGCGATGGCAGAAAGTATGTATGTCAAATCTCAGGGCGGGATAATTCTTTCTATATATAGACTGTGCACTTGCAGCAGCAGCCATCCGGAATATAGTTAGTAGATTACTGTATATCATACTGTATCAGTGATTACAGGAAGATTTAACTTGCAATTTTTGCACAAGATTTTATTCATCTGATATATTAGCAGTTAGCAGTGGGTTCTTGCTTGTATTTCGGGACTTCCTCTGAGTGTGCCTGAAACGAACCTCACATGCATGAAGAGCGTCAACTATTTTACATGATACAGTGAAATATCCAGATTATTGCAATGCCAAAACGCCGAGATCGACGCTTGGATGAGTTGTGGAATGCTAGGTTGAGTGGGTTTGCTCAAAGAAAATCAGACTAGAATTAATTGAGAGGCATTCACATTCGGGAAAATATACAACTGCTTTGCATGACCTGGCCTCTTGATAGCCCCTGCCAGCGACTGCCAACTAATGAAAAGGTTTGGCCCGTCGTTGTCGTCGCTGCCGATGTTCACGTGATCTCAAATGACGACCTTTCCAAAAGGCAGCTAACAATTCGGAACCTCCATACTCCTGCATATCATTCAATGTCATCTTGGCATGCACTTCATATCCCCCGGAAATCCTCTTTATATTTCGTCGAAGGGATGGAATTGCGACAAACTGATCAGAGTCGCCGCAAGACAAATCAGTGGGACTCATTGCCTCATTGATTATGATTGGGTCTTCTGCGAGGAGTGAGAAACGTTTTTCATAGAGCTGGTGCTGAGAGCCTTACCAGCAGTACCCAAGTACTTCCGGGTCCTTTCCTGTGCACCATATCTCTGTGCTTCTTGTAGATCTATCTGTCCTACTACCTGGTACATCTCATGCCCGTTTCGCTTAGCCACGAGTGTCAGTATTGACACCTGAGAAAAGGGCAAGACGATGTATTTCTCCTTATCCAGCATCTTCTTCAACATGTCGCCTTCCCAACGGTCAGAGGCCAGGGGGAGGAATTTGCTCTGATCGGTGGACTTGGACATGAGATGCCTCGCACAGGCGTTTGTCAGCCTCCTCGATGCAATCATCAGAGCAGTTCAACGGCTCCTTCGATGTGTTGCCTTCCTGACAGTTGGAGGCCAGGGGAGGAGTTGGCTCTGGTCAATGGGGTTGGTCATCAGCGACGTCGCACGGGCTTGAGTCAGCCTCCTCGATGGAGCCATCGGAGAAATCCGACATGTGGAGTGAGGGTGGGGGAACATCGACCGCAGGGGAGTCAAACGACATCCATTCATCCCAGTCAATGTTATCGAAACCAGAGACGGCGGATGGCAGGGCAGAACAGTCGGCGAATATCTCACATGCTTCGTCCCTGGTGAGATCACCGGACGCAGAGAAGAGGGGCATCTGAAGGGACTGTAGGGGCTCTTTGTTTGACTGAGGATCGGGAGCACATGCTTCCAAGAAGAGATCGTTGCAGAAGTGAGCCGTGTCCAGCTGAGGTGAGGAAAAGTCTAAGGCAGGTCGGGGGGAGGCAGTATCATACGTGGAGGAAGCCATGTTATGAGATGAGATGATGAGGTACTTGTCTCCCCCGGATCCAGGCGGCACTTGACCTCTTTATATATTCCACGTTCGACGGCCCCCTGCGGACAGAAATAGATCAAGGCTGATAAAGGAGAATAGGCCAAATCGCAAGCTGAGACGTGCCTTGCATAGATAACCAATCCTCCACGCCAAACCAGCAGTCAAGCCCACCCGACGAAGCTGAACTGACAAGCTGCTGGACTCCTTTCCACCCGTCGATAAGGCTAGGGATAAGGATGATGCATGATGGAAAGATCGAACTGCGCCCGATGCCAATCATCTGTGCTCGAATCAGCCCAAAAGTGCTCCTGACCCCCGTGCCCCTCATGGACATCTCGTTTCCAATCACTCTAAACAAGAACATCCAACTCGAAGCAAGATCCGAAGCACGACTGCATTGAGGCTTATCATTTTGCTATAAGCATACCCATGAGGGCATCACACACTAGAGCAAGATGAAGCAAAACGCGAGATGCAACTTGTGCTCTGCTCCTATCATTCATGCCAGCTTCTTGCCAGAGGGCGCAGCGAGATGGGGCATCAGATCAAGCAAACTTGAGCTCTCCTCCAGTCAATATTGATCAGGTGGAAGGGAATGCTGGCAGGCGGCAGGCGCAATTGTCGGAGCTGCCAGTCAAATGAATATATAAAGGGGGCTTCCTCTCCCATTTGAATGCAGCCTTCACTCCTCTTCAAATCTTTTTTCCCACTTCAAAAATTTGCTTGTCTTACTCCAAATATTCACTCCCTACTCCAAATTTCTGTTCATCCTCATCATGGATAGACAACGAACCGAGAGCCCTCCTCCACTACCCAGCGAGTGTTTGTCGCCCGATGCGCAGCAAAACTCTGCTCTTCCAACTTATCGCGAGGTATTAGATGACTTCCTCCAGAAGACGCAATCCCAAACCTATGCCTCAGGTAAGGACTTCATGACATTTCCCCCCCTTCTTTGTTATGCCCCTCATCATGCTGCCTTCTATTTCTATTTCTCATGTAAGATTGCAGCTCCCTTCAACGTCCCGCCCAAGCGGCTGTCTGTTGACAGAACCTCAAATAATCAATCTCAACATTCTGGTGAAGTCGAACCCAAAGACAGAGACAATATCTCAGATTCTGGAGCTACAACAGAACCTCTAGCTGATGACATGTGGGAGAATCATCACTATCGGTTTCAGGTGCAGAGGGTTGAAAAGAGTCCTGAGATCCGTCATGTCGGAGGAAAAGTATTGCGAGACGGTAAATATGTTCGCAATGTGCTCTATGTGGTGGAAAAATATCTCCTGGACAAATCACTCCCGGACAATGTGAGGCTCAAGCTGCTGAAGCAGGAGAGAAACAAAGAAGGAAGAAGGAGGAGAAACAACGAAGGAAACGTCTGGACACATTACGTTCTCGACCGTCAACACGCGATTGATAGAAGATGGGGTGTCTGCTTGTCAATTATGCTGATCAAACCGCTCATTTGTTTATTTGATGTTACATATAATACACAGTCATTTACTTGTAGAATCTCAGCATCTATCTGCTTCCCTGTGCATAAAATTGGAATATAAGAAAATACAGTATCACTAGTTTGTCTCGCATTTCAAACCCTTCAAATCCTAGACTAACTGGAAGCTTGCCACCCTCTGCTGGGGGGTTTGCCAGTGGCTAAGGCTTCAAAACCACAGTGTGCAGTGTGCCACTTTCTGCAGGCATAGGCTCCCCAGCGAGGTTCGGTTTAATATTTCCAGGAAATGCTTGATTCGCTGAAGATTGATAAGAAACTGTGATATCACAATTGCCGACTAGAATCTATCTTATTTATTCCCTGAGAATATATGAAAATAGTGGTCATAATAGCTTTCGGCGAAACCTGGTGGCACCCCCCAGAGAGTCAACAAGGTGATGGTCTTATCACCAAATACTACGGTTTGCCCTATGGAATTAGCGGGTGATGCCTGTTCACCAAAGCTATGGGCTCCCCTCGTGGAATCAACGAAGTGGAGGTTTACCACCAAATATTGTGGTTCCCCTCATGGAATCAGTGAGTGGATGCCTGATGAGATATTCTCTATGGTGTCGGCACCCTTGAGGGATGCCATAATCTTGAGCGAAAGGCCACAAATATAGAGAGTCCCTTGCGGGATGAGCGCCGCTGAGGGAGGTGAACCCTTGTGGGATGCCATAATTTTGAGTGAAAGGCCACAAAAATAAATGCCCTTGAGTGATGTCACGATGCTGAGTGAAAAGCCACAGAAATGAAGCCCTTGAGGGGTGTCATATTTTTGAGTGAAAGGCCAGGACACCACTGCTTTTGCCGAAAGACCAGAATATCTGAAACTTCTTATTGGTCCCCGGGGGAAGCCATGATTTCTGCTTTCACTACGCGAGAGCAATACAATATGTTGGGGGGCACGTGATAGGGTAGCCGTAGTACCCACTAACACCCCCCCGTGCTACGGCGCCGCCCATGCACTGCCGCCCGGGGCCCCCCTTTGCTCAATTCTTCTAAAAACGCAATAACAATTTAGAGGAAAAACTAAGGTTAAATCTAAGGAACAAAGAAGACAAAGAAATTCTTTAGCAGCACCACTCCCTGTTCGCTGGGGCTAGAGGAACATTAAAAATGATGAGCTGTTATGGAATCATGAACAGAAATAGCTTCGACTCGTTGAAATAGCATTAAGACTGCAGAGTTGCTGGCGAAAAGATATGCCTGAGAGATATATTCGCACGCGGGAAATAAATAAAAAAAGGAATAGAACAAAGTGAATAAGATAGAGTTAAATCGCGACCAGCGTCCCAAAAAACTTGGATCAAGAAGAAAAAATAGACCAATCCAGATGGAGCCGAAATTGAGAAATGAACAAAATAATCAAAGTGCCACACTGCAGGGGGCTGGAGAACACAAATAAATATAAGTAACCCCTTGTCAACAAGGAAGCGCGAATATATCATAAAAAGACCATCACAACCAAATGCATTTGTTAAGGAAAGTAAAGTTACAGATCACAGGGGTATCTCGGAGGTGCGTAAATCGGTAATTGGAGGCGAAGGGTCTAATATACAGCATTGTTTTGCTGGAAAATATTATTGCTTTCTGCGTTGGCGACATCGGAGGGGGCCTTTGGAAGCCTCTGGACTTTCTTCTATTGGATGAATATTTCTTTTAAGCTCGTGCCATTTTAGTTCGCATTGAGACGGTGAAAAAAACCCTGCTCCGAACTCTTGCATCTGCCATGGATGGGAAAGAAAATAAGCTAGGGAAGAAAAGAGGAATAGAAAGGGAGCTGAGGAGAAAGGAAGTGTGAGAGGAGAAAAGGAAATTAAAGAAAGAATAGTTATATTTACAGTGAATGACGAACCTTCTGTGATATGATCTCGAACTTTTCCCATTCCCAGAATTCATATGCTCGCTGAAGTGCTTGGACCTACAGAAGATTATAAGATGGCGGACGAGGAAAAGGGGGGGATAAGAGACACATACTCACATCTTCCTCGGGCCATTGCATGGCTCGATGCTTCATACGCGTCATCCGCATTTGAAGACAGGAGGCTGAATAGTTTGTCCTAAATTCAGCATTTATTCTCATCACAATTTCTCTCCAAGATAAATTTCTCTCGGTTCTCATTGATCGAACAGCTTCGTTTTCGCGATCCATCTGTGACGGCCTTGATCTTTGCCCCGAATTTCTTCGAGACGACCAAGACCTGCGGCGTTGTGACGTTTCCACGCCTTGATTTCTTTTCCTATCACGCTGGAGTTTAAGAAGTCCATCAGGATTTGGAGCAATGTTCACATGGCCCCTTCCAGGATTGGATCGCGTAGATAGAGTGTTAGATTGCGTAGGACCATTGAGGGCCCGTAAGCCAAACCCGGCCACTTGAGATCCAGGCGAAAAATGATTATCTAGTGCGTCGCGATGAGGATGGTCATATGTGAAGATACCAGGCTGCACATAGTTTGTAGTAGTCGGTCCACTGATGCCGAGTCCATGGTGTGTAGGGGAATCCGTAATATCGCGATATTGAAGGTCATGGTGGCTATGTGAAGGGCTCTGCCCTGGTTCAAGAAAAGGTGTACCTGAAAGGCTAATTGGCGTCGGCATAGAACCATTTGTATGAACAAATGGATTCGCAGAGGTTGGAAAGCTCTACGGTAGTTTATTATTAGCGAATCATCGTAATATATAAGGAGTGTAGGCGTGGATGTACCGAGTGAGGAGAAACCCATTCTGGCTCCAGGTACCCGTTGATATCAGGAGCTCGACTTTGGTAGGACAGTTCGCTCAACGCAGAAGCAATTCCAGGGGGATGCTCTTCGCCCGTGGAGTATCCTTCGCATGGAGAATGCCCTTCAGACGCCATTGGATCACCGATGCGGATGGAAGCGCCGTGATCCTCCGTTTTGTTTCAATATACGCAAGGGGGAAGCGAGTAAAGTATAAGCGCAAGAACAGCACGGCGGCAATAGCATGAAATTCGAATTGAAGTAATTTCGAGATGCAGTAAATAAAATTGTCCAGAAGAGACGGAGGGGGCCAGTTTTTTATACTAAAAAGCTGGTATACACTATTACAACATTATTCCTATGCACACCCCCTGCAACGGGAAGGGTGGTCAGGGCTTTCGGGTGTTGCGCATCAGATCTCCCAATCCCGACAACGAGGAAATCGCGGCGATATTACGGAGTACCTCGCAAGACTTTGAGCAGTGGATGGGGCGATCCGATGAACTCATACATGGTCCTTTGGACAATGAATGCTCCATTACGCAAAAACTGTGCCACCTGAGAATGATGAACGGCGACATGGTGGTGGTTTTGGAGCGTCTGCACCTAAGCGCCAGCCCTTCTTTCCACTCCGGCCGCCAACCAAGGATTAGAGCCATACAGAGATGGAGAAAACAGCCCCCAAAAAGATCCTCGATGGCCCCTCCAGGATTGAAAGAAATGACAGACGCCTATTTCGGCTCCGGCAGCATGGGTGATGTGTAGGGGTTGCCCACCGGAGGTGTTGGATAAATGGAGCGAGATATCTAGGTACCTGGGCATGTACTGTACATTTAACAGCGCAGCCATTATTTGGTTCGGAACATCTTGAACCTAGACCCAATCACAAGTATCCTAGATGTTTTAGTGGTCAAGCAGCCGGCTTGAATGTCAAGATATCGAGTCTTGGTATGGAAGCCCACCACCTAGTGCCGCATTGGCTGATACAAGATAGGGAGTTGACGATATCAGTTGGTGACAATGAGATCAGGAAGATGGAAGGACAGAGAGCAAGCGCACGTGGAGCCCATCAAAGAGATTGGGAATCTGTTTCTCCCCTCGTTTCCCAGGCACGAGTTGAAATGTAAGCTGCGTCGACTGAAGGATGCTGCTCAATGAATTAAAAAAAGCAAAGAGGGGATGTATGCGGCACAGTCCACGGCTCGGCCACTCACGCGAAGCGTCACTGCTGGGCTTGTGACTCCCTGGTCTCAAATGCCCCGGGTTGCCAGCCAGCAACCATTGGTGTTTCTCAGAAGCTGCAGGTCCTAATTCTCCGCATTGCCGGGTCCTTGCCACCTCCAGGTGTTGCTGGGGATGGGGGGTATACCGAACAGCAATTTCTGACCGGGCCACAGATAACTGATACATGCACTATTCTCCAAATTGATTTACAAGGCACATAAACCACTGCACATGACGGGTATACTACTGCAATCCAGGTTAGTTTGCATGGGGCTTTCCTGAAAGGATACCAAGCATCGAATTATCGTGATTTATCCTGGCCAAAGATTCCTGGACCTTTATCTAACCTTTCGCGATAAGATGCGGCTCGAGGACCATATAGAAATTCGGCTAATGATGCTCCAGATCCTGAGCATGACAACCGACCCATTCCAGGGAAGAACCCCGAAAACTGTTAACTAAGAACACACAAAACGAATGATGGGCAAGGGGCGATAGCAGTGGGGGGAAAGCGAGCCGAGCGGGATTGGCTACGTACGGACGGCCACGGGAAATAAACGCCCAGGCCATTCCGGCTCTTGGTGTGTGGCCAGCATGTCGTATAAGTTACGTATCATAAACGCACACAACAACCGTCAGGAGGCGAGTTCTTTATGAAAATGCGCCGGGCAGATGGCCAGGGAATTTGCGGGCGACCAACCCAAGGAGGTGAGGATTGGCCGCGGCTGGCGCCAGGTTACAGGACGGAGCACGAACACGTGAGCACAATCTATATATATCCGGATGCCAAAGCTCCCATTGCTTATTTTCATACTGCGAAAAGAATTATTTTTCAGACACCAGGTAGGAGTGCTCCGAACACCGACTCAAAGCACCTCTTCAATTGCTCATTATTCAGAAGTTAAAATGGCAACCCCCGAACCAACAACCAACGAGATACGGCGAGTTGGTCCTGGATCGACAAGCCTGTCAGTTAACTGTTATCAAACGCCAGCTCCGATGTAGAGCCTCAAAACCTTTTACCCTGCTCTAGTTAGCGAACTCCGTCGATTTACTCCGTAGTCTTGATGTTGTCTCAAGAAACTAGCTTGGACAGGACTTTCTTTAACCCGTCAGCCAAGTCGCTCCTATATTGGCCGCAGATTTGACCTGGCCTGCGGCCACTCGATGGCAAGCGCACATTGGTTACTCTGGAGTAATTCTAGAAATTTTGGGGGCCTGTGCAACCCAAGCGCAAATCCATGGCGGATATCAAATCATGAAGGGGAACTGCTTGCGAACCGCTGGATACCTCCTGCGTTGCGCCGTCGATCAAAACATTATCTACATGATTTGCTTTCCGGAACGCCATGATCCATTGCGATAAGGGAGGGGCAAATGTCGAATCTGTTTTGGGAATATCACTCTCTCATCATGCTTATTTTCGTATCTGAACCTTTAGCCAACGCTGTTGTTACCAAGCATTATGTTCCTTTCTCTCTGCCTTAGATTGTAGCTTCCATACGCCTTCGGCATTTATGGTTTCCTGCTGTTTACTTATGGCTTTGAAACAAACCTCGCCAAATCGGCTCAACCCTCTGTTCCTGCAGGAGTAACAGTCGACAACATGAAGGGATTTCTGAGCACCTCCCTTCATTATCTCCTCTGGTCTTAGTTCCATTGTTCTTTTGTTCACAAGCGCCATCGGGGCCTTCGTTTGTCCACACCGTTACGGGATTTTCCGCGGCCCATGGCCACCCCACAGAAAAAAGCAAGTATGCTAAGAATACGTTTGGTTTCATAATAGCCATTCATTTGCCCCGTTTTGTCCCATCGACCGCTCGTGGCCAACGAATTAATCAAGTCTGGGGGGCTTTATCCTGCCTGCAAAGCACCGAAGCCCTGGGACCTTGCTTGGTTTCCTTCTTTCTAAGGGTAACCTTTAAAGATTCCCTAAACAAGAGCAAAAATCCACTGAATGGTAATTGTTGGTTCTGACATCCACTGTTGGAAAAGACAGAAACTAACAGAAATTATAAGAGGATCTAAACTGGATTTTTCTTCGAATACAATGAAGTTCGACTGCAGTAACTGCAGCTCACCAGAAAATGGTATGTTCGAGCTTTTCTCTCTTTTGAGGTGGGGGCCGCGAACCTCGCGAGATGAATGACTTCGACCAAAATAAAGATATTTCTCGGAATTCCCTATTTCAGCAATGGCCGACATAGCCAACCTGAAAGGTGAGCAGAATAGCCCGAACTTTCGTCTTAACCTCCGTTGTTCTCTCCCAGTCGATGACCTCAACTTCGCAATATTCATCCAACTGCGCAGGTGAGAAAGTTAAAACATCCAACACCCACTGTTCTCCTCAAATACACCTAGACCCATTGACAAAGAGTTCCTCTCACGTCAATTTTAGACCCCTGCCTGACTAGGATGAAACATCTACGGCGCAACTTTTTGTTTTGAGCTATCACCAACCTCTCCCGCAGGCTAATATCGATTACATGTCGTTGGGTACTTGTTTCAAATCCTCTGGTCAATGAAACATCCCTCAACATTGTTTACAACTTTTGTTAAGTGGCATTTTGTCTCGAGTGACCAAAAGCAAAAGATCGCAGGAGAAGAAGCCAAGGTATGGGGAAATCCAACCGAGAAATTCTATGTCCTTGAGGTGATCGGGAAATAATAAGTGCATAATTTCATACATCCAAACTAACACAGGAACACCAATAACGATGTGGATGGTGTAGTTAGTGCAATTAACCTCCATCTCCGCATTACCATCGAATGGCGGGTTCGAGCAGCTAGGAAACCCCAACGACTGAGATATGTTATACTACTTTGAAATATGCTCTCCCCGAAAGGATGGATATTATGTTGGATAAAGAATAGCCGGTGTCAAATGGTGGAAAACTACGAGGAGTACCATACTGCCGTAGTTAGAATTCAGTGTTTCCTCTGCCCCTCTACCCGCAGATGAAGACAGATACAACAAATGATATAGAGGTCCATTTGTCATCCTGTAGTCATCTCTTAATATACCAAAGAGTGTGCATTTTGTATAAAGACAGCCAAGTAGAAAATAAATACCTGCACACCTTCAGTGCCCCGTCCACCAGCATTAGCGGAAGAGATGACGATGAGGAATGACGGCGACCATGAACGGTTATATAGATATGCAGTACAAATTATAACTTACCACACTCTTCCAATAACCACACTTATTCATTTGCAGATTTTTCGTGTCGTAGCTCGTACCTACCACGCCTTGCCTCTACCCATTAGCATCCGGCCCATATCAGTTTCTCCAGAAACAACGTCCTCTCGTCAATTGAAAATCCTGACTTTACATTGAATTTTTTTTTTTTTTTTTTTTTTTTTTTTTTAATTTGTTTTGAGAAAAGTGATACACAACTTTTTGATGTGCGTACGCTATTCCGTCAGATAGGAGGGTGTGTTGCATGCTTACCTAAAAGAATCTTCTTTGTAAGGCTCGCGCTCGCAGGGGATAGAATTTAATATCCGAGTTGTGTGATAGTTTAGGCGGTCCGTAAGTCGTTACCAAGGTATATCGGAGAAACACGAGGGGGATCTCTGAGCTTAGATATTGCACACTACATTGACACAGATGTCCTGCTTGTTGTTGGCCTTCACTTCGTTAAAAGAGTGTTTGTGCTTCTGAGAAACTATCTAGTTATCCAAAACGCATCCCGCTGGGAGAGCAACCACGCACGTCATATATTCCCAGTTTTCAGGAGTCCTCTATCTCCTTTTCTGAAGATGTATCCACCAGGAATATTGTATATATTCTTATAAGTTGGTGGGTCCTCTCCGCAATAACGCTTTTCTGTTTGAGAACACCATCATAAACCTCTTCAGATCCAACAAAACATTTACATATATCCAACCCACGACTCCACAAGCGATTGAATAAGTGGAAATCAATCGTTATTCCCAAACACGCCTTATCAACGCGAAAGAAATATGTTACAGTGTTGAGCCAAGGGGTTGCCATGCTCCTCCGCCAAACAAAATAATAAAATACACATTGCGCAGAAGGGATCAAAAACAGACAGAGGAAAGGGTGTGAATCATCTCCCACCAAACTCCTGTAGCTGGCAAAGAAAGTGATATGAAATATGACCACAGTGCGTGAAAATCATCATCATAATACAAGCTGAAACCGAGAAAAAGAAATCAAGAAAAACCAAATATGAAGTGGACTTAGGCCTTGAATAAAATTTGTCGCCAAGAACGCTCAAACATCTCCAAGACCCACAAATACTTGCAAGGTCCAAACAGACTTCCAGTATATGCGAAGTGCCTATTCGTAATTTCACGGTCTTGCGACTACCTTCGGGGCCCAAACATCTCTTTCAACGGTTAGCAATGAAGCCACAGCGCATTTCTCGACTGGACTTCGGCCATTGACGGGGTTGTTCAGCTCTGCAACAGCCGATGAGCCTGGCCCGTTGATGGCTTGGAATCCACCATCAGGGGAAGTAACAAGAGCATTGTCCACTGCCCTCTGTAGCCCGCGAGTTGCGTCCTTGGGGCTAAACACAGGAGTGGGAGGCCGCGCTGCGCAACTTGCATATGAATGGAATATTGAGAGGAAGAATGCTTCTTCAAGTTTAGCTGCGGGGAAGCTGGGACTTTTCGAGTAATCTGACGCAATTAATGACCAGAAGGAATCGCGGTAGGTGTTATAAAGCTGGCGAAGTCTGATGGTATCGATGTCCTCATGGTGGTCGTGGCTTTGGAAAAAGGAGGTATCCAACCGAAGGGAGCTGTTTAGGTTTGCGGGTGTTGATTGTATGGAATGGAGTGTGGAGGTTTTTGGTTTTGGGAGTATTGGAACGTGAGATCGATATTGTTGAGGAGAATCGGCTACAGAGGATGATCGAGAATGGATTGATTGGGGGCTTGGGGGAGATATCAAGTTGCACATCTCAACAGAGGGTTTATCTTCAAGGGGGCATTCCTGTGTCGTGGACAGCGGCGAGATCGAATTGACAGACGACACAGAGTCTGTGCGTCTGCGCCGGTTGCTACCATATGACATCTGATGATAGTGGAGGCGGCAAGCAAGTTCAGTCTTGTGTAAGTGGGCAGCAATGTGCTTGTAAGGCATTTTATGCATGCGAGTCCGTATGAGATAGGATTCCTGGGGAAAGAGATTAGTTACATAAGAACTCATTGAACACTGGGGCATGCGTACCTCTTCTTCAGTCCATGCCCTACCTCCACCTGTGGAAGACATTTTTCGATGCTTTTGGACACGATGCTCCATTCTGTCTAGATGAACGGGTGTCGTAGATCGATTCTCACGAGCCTCCGTCGGGAGGGAAGCGGAGCGGATAGCCGGAGACATATATTTCAAGGATAGTTTATTCAGGAAAATAAAGCTCACTGTCAATATTGATCAGTGGCTTGGGAAAGTCAAGCGGGGCAGCTACCAGTATTTGAACTATTTAACAAGAGAGAGCGGTTCAACAGAGGTAGGGGGATTAAAAAGAGAAATGATTGCTAAATCAGTGGAAGATAAAGTAAAACAGTCCACACAAGCCCAGCCAGTGGGATATTAATGAATGTGAGAGAAAGAATGAAAGTTAGAGCTACAGAGCAAAGGAGACAGTGATTATCAAGCTCTGGAATATTCCGAATAGAGTGAGATCGAACATGCAGCATGGGGCAGTCTTATATTTATTCTATTGAGAAGAGTCTGTGCCTGAACTAGAAACGGTTCCTGACACTAGAGATGAGAGATGTAGTGCATGATCACTAGTGTGGCGATGGCCGCTGGGTGCCTGATATTTCCCTGCGAAAAAAACATGCTTTAAAGTAGAGAGTGGAGAGGGGGCGGCGGGAAATCGACCCTGCACACAGACGATGTATGACAGCCGCAGTTACGATCTTTCCCAGAAACTGACAGAAGTGCATGAAATCATTCCCCAAAGGAGCTAACAGATATCTCCAAATGGGATCTAAGCCCATCTCAGGACAGATTAGCCGCACCAAACAGTTTCGCTGGTTTTAAATCTGGGGTAGCTCACACATGGCAAAACTCAGTAAGTGTCAGTTCTCAAAACAGAACTAGCCAACTCCCAAGAGAAGTAAAGGAGGTATTTAGAAAATCGCTAAACGGTAATAGCCCGTTTCAAAACCCACATGGGGGAGGGAAGAAGTTTTGGATGCAACATATTCAACGCACGGTCAGTAAACGGCTAAAGTTGGAATGGCCGAAAATGGCAAGGAAAGCGGGAACAAAACGGCCATGGTGGGTATGAGGAAAATGGGGATTCAGAAGAGATCACCTTGGAAATAGTTCCAAGCTCAAAACCCAAAACTACCTTAGAGCCTAGAAAGCAAGTAGTCAGTTTTGTTGTAGAGCCATCTAGAAATTGTCGCCGAATCGATTGATATAAAGGGATGGGGGACTTATCTCCATTGAATGTGAGGTCGGAAAATGAGGGGCAACTGGATGCGCAGTTTGGAAAAGCCGGCTTTCACAATCCACACCAACGCCACAGCAAGGGCATCGCAACGCCTCCACTGCCAGTACCTCATCGCCATCCATCCCGAGGAGGAAGACGCAGCTCCTCGAGACATTCCAGTTCGCTGAAAATGAGAGCCGTCTTGGCAGCATTCTTGGCGGTTGTATCAATCAGCTGTTTCAGCAGCATCAACTCTGGAACCAAAACCGTTTCTTTTCGGAACGGGTTTCACCATTGTCATTTTCTACCCCGAATCCTTGAGCTCAGGCAGTTCCTCTTCTGCGTTGACATCCCGCTTCGATGACAAAAATATATTGGGAAGCCGACAGGGCCGATCCACTCCCACGGAGGTAGCATCAATCACCAACAATCAAACATTCAGTAAACCAAAATATCTCCGAAACTCGATTTGGAATTAAAATACCGCATGGTTTCTCCCAACGAAATTACGATGATATGCAGCTTCACCAATTGCTCATGGCGATGGCACAGCATAAAATTGACATGTTAAATAATTCCAGTCAACTTGTATCTTCGCCGGGCTGAAAAACAGCCTAATGCAGCGCTAATTGGTCAAGGTGCGCCTTGGTTACCATAACAATCCAAAGACTCTGGATAGCGTGAGGGGAATTTATAATTGTTGAGGCTGGAGCAATATCCAATCAGCGGAGTCCCAGAAAAGCTCTGTCGAAAACACTGAGAAATATGTACATACCTGGGAATTCAATTGATAGCGCTGATAATATTCGTTATCGTTTCACCACTTTCTCTGTAAACTGTGGACTCAAATGCTGGCCTCGTAGATGCTAATTGAAGCCGGGCAAATACATCGACTAATCACAATCGGGTCTCATAAGCATACTTGTTGATTTCGAGGTTATTGTATCGCAATGTTTGAGATCCTCCCAATAATTTTCTTTTTCCACTGTGGAACAAACTAGGTAAGCAGTTCCG